CCTGTTGTAACTGGGCTACTATATAGCATGAGTGTCAAACTTGATTTCATTGAGGGCTGCATCAGAGTTGTGTTTGACTTTAAGAGTCCAGGTGTGTGCTAGTGGAGCCGGCGTGGCTAGCTCAACATCACTTGTCAAGGCTCTGTTTTTGGCCATGACAGCCTCCTGCAGCCCTCAAATCAAGATAGGCAAGGCGGTTTGTCATATTGATGATGAAAGAAAAGTTGATTTAGGCTCTTCTAGTTCATGATATGGGCCTCAACTTTAGCATAAGTTTATGGGTCAAGTAATGCCAATCTATTAAGGGGGCAGGGGGCAAGAAAGGAGGTTCAAAATCACCATTGATCGCAGAGAAGAATGGGCAAAGCAGTGAGTCTCTAGAGATGGGCAAGAGCCCTATAAACAAGCGGTAATTTAGCAGAGGTGACAGTGGTGGGAGCAATTTTTAGAGGCAAAAGACCGGCCTGAAAGAACTAACTGGTGTAAGCAAGCAATTGGGATGGGAGACAACAAGAAAGAGCACAAACTGATTCTAAGACATACAGACTCAAGTGGAGAAGAAGAAACCGGAGGATTTGGAGAACTATGGTGCATTTGGAGGTGGTGGATTGCTGATAATAGCTAGAAAAAGAAGTGAGCAGCAAAATGGAAGATGAAGAGGCTGATGCAACAGCTGTGCTGAAACTACCTAGAACTTCTTAGAGCAGAAGAGTGTGGAGAGTATCACAAAGACTAAACAGAAATGTAAATTAAACAAGAACTTTAAAAAATGTAAAAGAAAAGGTGCTGAATGAATTGTCTGTGTTAATAGTTTGGTGAAATGCTTATTGGAAGATATACATAAGAGAATTTTGTAGGTTATGATAAATAGAATTTAAACAATTAACTTGCAATTATATACAAATATATATATATGTCACAACCCCTGGTATGCCCAAATATGGGAGGAACCATACTGCTCCCTCATATATATAATAGAAGTGTGTGTGTCTGTCTGTGTGTGTGTGTGTGTGTATAGATAGATAGATAGGTAGGTAGGTAGGTAGGTAGGTAAGTAGGTAAGTAGGTAGGTAGATAGATAGATAGATAGATAGATAGATAGATAGATAGATAGATACAGTTATAAGTTCCTAATTGAATTAATTGCACCAAGGATATAATGAAATAATTGCACTTTTAAGATATAGCACTGTTGGTATAAATAAATATTGAGGCTTCCTCTCTCTGTCTTCCTCTTTCCTTGTTTTTTCTTTCTTTTTTATTATCATTTGATGTCATTGAGTAATTTAGAGATATATAGAGACATATACAGACATATTTATATTACTTACATCGCTACAGGATAACTGATTGTGGATTAATATAGATAAAATAACATAAATTAAGGAATTAC